TCTTTTCTTTTCTTTTCTTTTCTTTTCTTTTCTTTTCTTTTCTTTTCTTTTCTTTTCTTTTCTGACAGAGTCTCACTCTGTTGCCCAGGCTAGAGCATCATGGCATCAGCCTAGCTCACAGCAATCTCAAATTCTCAGGCTAAAGCAATCCTTCTGCCTCAGCCTCCCGAGTAGCTGGGACTACTGGTACTTGCCACCACACCCCACTAATTATCATTTTTCCTTTTTAATATTTATTTTCTTTTTATATTAAGATAGTCACACAGAATGATTTTTCTATTTTTAGTAGAGACGAGGGGTCTCACTGTTCCTCAGACTGGTCTCGAACTCCTGACTTCAAAGGATCCTCCTGCCTTGGCCTCCCAGAGTGCTGGGATCACAGATGTGAGCCACTGCGCCCGGCCATCTAATTGCTACTTAATGGCAGAACGAAAGGGTCGCAAAGCACTCCAAACCTTTCAGAGCTGCCTGTCCTGCTGCGGCCTGCCTCTCGTGGAGAAAGGGCACACTCACCACGCCGGGCAGGACAAGATGGAATGTGGGTCTCAGCCTTTTCCAAGAAAAATTAGTCACTTTCCAACTCTCACCCTTCCCACCTTTGCACTGGTGGGCAGCCGGCCCAGGTCTGCCCTTTCCCGAAACTGCCAGGATTGACAGAGCTGGGAGCAGTCACCCAGCTCATCCCTTCGCCTGGAGGCAGGGTGCTCCCCAGCCAGCCTGGAACGTCGGGAAGCGACCCTGTTCTTTCTGGGACACGGCGGGAAGTCAGAGGTCAGGAGAAGAGGGGCCCCACATTAGACGGGGCCTTCTGGAGACAGAGCCTGGGTTTTGGGGGCAGACTCAGATGCAAGGAGGTGGGGACGAGGAAGGCGTGCGGGACACCTGGCCGGGTGACGGGGGCGGATTGGCTGCCTGCTGCATTCGTCTGCAGGGCTCCCCTAGCCCTGGGGTGGGGTGCTGAGTGGGATATGGGGAAAGGCTCCTTACACGGCTGTGGGATTTAGGCAGGTCACTTTTTCAGGAGACTGTGAGACCAAATCAGTGATCTGCCACCTCGACTGGACATGACATTCGCTAGGAGCGCCGTGGGGGAGCCCAGTGAGGTCAGAGTCTCTGGACACAGGGCTTTGGTTCTCAGCCACGAACAGGTGGTCCTGTATGAGCTGGACTCTCTGATCCCTTCCAGCTGGACAACAGGGAGAGGAGAGGAGGGATTGGTTCGTTTTCCCCACCATTCAAGGAGAAACCCCACTGGCTACAGAGCTCTTGCATCGTGGCGACACCATGAGCGCTTTCGTAGCCCTTTGCAGGTGGCGGCGGCTCAGTGTGGGTCGGGAGGCAGGGCCGGTATCTGCCACGCTGCGCGATTGCCGATTGCTGTAGAGAAAGAAGTGGGGAGGCAGAAATCCCCACCGCAGTGGCCGGTCCTGAAAGGCTTCATCTCCAAGTCAGAAGAAAGCACAGAGTTTCCATTAACAGCAAAGTTTTTTCAACGTAAGGAGCAGGTCGATTTGGGGGCTTAAAGCAGGTGAGTTTGTAACTAGGAGGATCCCGTGGAGAGAGAACTTTCAGCTGAGCCCGGGGCTGGGCAAACGCAGCTGATCTCCGGCTCCTGCTGTCCACATTCTGTGGACAGAATGGGCGGAATGGAATCCAGTGAGCAAAAAATCCCATCTAAGTCACTTTTCTAAGTCTTGATTATTTTGTGGTAATTTCATTCCACAAAGCATTGCCTACCTTTAGCTAAGTTGTTTATTTGCAGGGCCTGAATTAAAATGAAAAAAAAAAAAATCTGGATGTAGACTTTAGAGTCTGAAATATCTGCATTTAAATCCTGGCTTTGCCCCCTGGCTATGTGCGCCTGGGTGGGTTAGTGTCTCTCTTCTAAGCCACGTTTGTGGAGATAACGACACCGGCTTGCTTACTTCACAGGCGTGCGGGGAACGTGAAACAGGATGATTTACGTAAAGAGTCTAGCACGGCACCTGATTCCCTGCAGGAATTGAATGCACAGCAGTTATGATTCAAATATCTTATCGAGATAGCCCCAGCACATGCGTGATGAAGTTTCAGATGTTCTCTATTTCTCAACAATACAGTGAGGAAAACATTGTTTTAGCCCATTTTGCAGATGTTGAAACCGAGGTGCTATCAATGGGACTTGGGCCCAGGTCCTCCAACTGTAGGCCTCATGCTCTTGCCATTCCAAGCCCTGGGCTAGAGATGACGATGCCCTTTTATACCGTGTTTCCTCGAAAATAAGCCCTACCCATAAAATAAGCCCTAGCAGGATTTCTAAGCATTTGCACAACAGAAGCCCTACCCCGAAAATAAGCCCTAGTGATGGCGTGGCTATGCAGCGCATCTGCACAACCCATGCCTTTCGTGGCCGAGCGGTAAATAAGACGACCAGCCCTTCTCATCCGCCCCATGAAAGCTCTGTGGCTCCACATGAGAGATTGGGGCCAATGGTTCTAAAGGAAACAGAGTCACAAGAAATTCAGGATGGAATTCGGGGTTTGGAGAGTGATGATGATGTTCCAGAAGAAGACGACTTAACTGTATTTGAATCAATGTAGATTATTGTACCGTACTTAAAAACAATAACACATCCCCTGAAAATAAGCGCTAGGGTGTCTTCTTGAGGAAAAATAAATATAAGACCCTGTCTTATTTTCGGGGAAACACGCTAATAACAAGGTGCCAGCTCAGCAGGTGGCGGGCAGGGCTGGTGCTGTCACATGGGGCGGCAGCCGGGAGTGAAACAAAGGGGTTGCAGCATCTCTGAGGGGTGACTGGGGACCCCAAATCACGGAAGAGGTGCCTACAGGATGCTTCATGCCAACCAGTGGGGACAAGTGTTGTCCAGCCCTGCACGTCACCATGTCCAGATGAGCCCACAGTATGGTCTGTGCCACTTGGGGCTTCCGGCTAAGATGCTAGATCTGTATTCTGCTAACGGGAGGCTATGTACGTACAGCCTCCACCAGCCCTTCCGCCAATGCCAGCAACACCTGAACCCCCAAATATTAATATGTAAAAGTTTATGTGTATACTTATGGTGCTATTATAAAAGCCTTAAAGAATCACATCTGCAGACATTTTAAAAACATGTCAAATTTTATTAAGAACGTCTCCTCCGTCTACAGAATAGATGCCTGCAGACATGAGACACGGCATACACCGAGCTTTGCTTCCTGCAAACGGTGAGCAACACCATAGCACAGACTTCCATTTCAATACATCTGGACACCAGGAAATGCCCCTGAACGAGGAGGAAATCAGTGAGAACCAGGCCAGGAAATCCTGCCCCATCCAGGGCTCCTACCTGGACAGAGCCTGATCCAATTGCTGCTTCAGAACAAGGTAGCAAGAGGGCATTTTTAATATCTCATAAACGGTACATAGAAATTTCTTAATTATAAAGGGTGCATGCAAATCAATTCATTAATTAAACCAAAAAGCTGAAACCTCAGTAGAAAAATGGGTAAAAGGCATACACACATAATTCACATGCAAATAGTTTTTTTTAAAACTCTAGACAAAACTTTAATCTTGCTAATAATCAAATAGACCTAAAATAGCACCACATTAAAATGCAGCACTGTTTTTCCCCCATACAATTAGCAAGTGACTTCTCATTTCTAATGACAATGCCAAACACTGATGACCACGTGGTGAGTCAGTGACGTAAATTAGTACAGACCTTTTGAAAAACAATTCAGATATCAAAAGCCTTAAAAATGTCAATATCCTTGAACCCAGAATCTATCCTAAGGAAATAATCAGACGTTCAGGGAAAAAAGTTTTAAGAATGAAGTAATGGAAACCATCTAAATGGTCCACAGCAGGAAAATGGTAAAATAACTTATATCCTCATAATGGAAGATTATTCAGATATTAAAAGATATGTTTGTGATGATTTTGAGATAAGTGGGGGTAATTCTTACATTGTTAACTTAAAAAAATATGTAAATAATCTCAACTATAAAACGATCGGAAAGTGGTGGGAAGGAAATGCATGAATCTGCTAACAGAAGTTGCCTGTGAGTGATGAGATTGTGGTGACTACTTTTCCTTCTTGCTCCTTTTTTGCATTTTCCAATTTTTCCCTTGCAAAAAAAAAATATATGTATATGAATGAAAAAAAACAAACAAAAAAACATTTGGACTTTGGGGCTGAGAACAAACTTTATCAAATGACCCTGAAGTTATCTGCTTTTCCCAAGGATTCGCATCTGCAGAGTCACCAGATCTGTTCAGGACTTGAACAAAAGCACCTCAAAGTCAAACGAGAGCACGGAGAGAGGCCAAGGAGAAAAACAGCGGGAGATCAATAGGGAAGAGAAGAGAGAGCAACACAGGCAAGCAGAAAGCAAGCACACAAATAGAAACCCCTTGGAACAGTTCCAATCAGTTCCATGTCTTGAGCTCTGCAGACAGACTGAGCTGATAACAGGTCTTATCTGCAGATCACCTTCCTCACCCAGCCTGTGCCACAGGCCCTGGGGCTCTCAGCTTCTGGATTTAGGAAGCAGGGACAGCATGGTTGGGCTAAGTCTTTGGCAAGTCCTTGGTCTTTTTCCATGGTGCTTTGCACATCTGCGTTGGACTGAGCCTCTCACTCAGGTTCGTAGACAAATGTTAACAAACTCGGAGCGCCTAGGCCTCCTCGCAGCCTGGTCTTGTCTAGAAGTCTAAGTCCTCTTGGCCAAAGCCATCTGCCCTGCCCACCACCCCGGTGGAGGGGCGGCTCGTACCTGACTTCTCATCTTGTAGGTCAGAGCCTTTGCCTGCCGGCTGCTCTGGAGTCCGTGGGCAGGAAGGGGCCCCTTCTTGCTCAGAAGCAGAACTTTCTGGATACATCCTGGTGACTTTTCTCTCTGCACGAGGGACCCCCTTGGACTCAGCTTTGGTGATTCCCACATCTCCACTGGCACCGTCTTCTGAGCCTTTCTGAGAGCAGCTACCCGGGCAGGGTGGGCTGGGGGAGGAAGGGCCTATTTGGGGGTCTGGGCTTTGGCGGGAGGTGTCTCCACCTGGGGCGGGTGGTGACGCGGGCCTGCCCTCTTGGTCCAGGCTGCTGTTTTCAGCAGCGTCCTCCAACTGGCCCTGCTCGGGGCCGACCGGAGGCCCCCCTGCTGACCCAGGCCGCCCCTCCCCGTCAGCTTCCTGGGCCCCTCCACCTTCGGCACCCTCACTCTGTCCTCCCGGATCTTCCTCACCTCTTGCTGAGGCTTCACCCTCCAAACTGTCCTCACCCCCTGGGCCCTGGGCCCTGTCTTCCTCCTTGTCCACTGCCCCCAGGTTGCTGCTCCCTTCCCTCCTCGGAGCGGCTGCGTCTTCCCCACCTTCCCCACAGCCAGCCCCCTCTGCCCCCTCCGCCAGGGGACTGTCATCTCTGCTGCCTCTCTGGCTCCCCTGCCCCTCTTCCCCCCGCACCTCAGGCCCCAGCTCCAGCCCGTCATCAGCCCCCCTCGAGGGCCGGGTGCTCGAGGGCTCCTCCTGCAGCTGCTCTGTCCCTGTCCTCTCAGGGGCCCCCTCAGCTGCGTCCCCACTGGAGCACCCTCCTCTCCTCTTGTGCAGGATTTGCTGCAGGTCAAAGGCCTCTTTGATGGGTGCCTTGGTTGTCCCCACGCTGTCCTTTGAGGATATGGGGCTTGCTTTCTTTTTTATGCAGGCCTCACAGGGACAGAACTCTTCCCCCTCGGCCACCCCGCCCAGCCGGGTCCCCAGGGCCGGGCCGTCCTCCAGGGAGAGGGACCCCAGGCCTGGGGTGCACTCCGAGAAGGCAGAGAGGTTGCGCAGGCCCTGGAGGCAGCGCCTGCGCCGCTCAGTCTGCAGGGACAGCTCCCCCCTGAGGGCCTCCCTGGGCGGCCCCGGGGCCCTGCGCCGCGCCGCGCGGCTCTGCAGCTTCCCGAGCTCTCTCTGGGAGCTGGCCTGGAGCCGCCGGCCCACGTCCTGCTGCAGCTCGGCCGCCATCTGGTCCAGCAGCGCGTGGTCCTGCAGGCTCCAGCGGGCGCGCAGCTCCGCCACGGCGCCGGCCAGGTGGGCCAGGAAGGCCTTCTCCATCTTCTTCAGCATCGCGGACGCCCAGACGGGGTCCGGATCCAGAGACCCTCTGCCCACCACGGGCACGCTCTTCCCGCCGGGTGAGGCTGGGGGCTGCCCGGGTCCCGTCGCGGCTGCTCCAGGCGGCTCTTCCAATCCAGGCTCACATTGGGGGCCGCTTGGATCCTCACCGTCGGCGTGTGGGTCCCTCTCGCTGAGCTGACCGCGGGGCTCTGCGGGCTCCTCTGTCCTCGCTGCCGGGGCAGAGGCTCTTCCCGCTTCCTCCTGCTCCTGCGCCCCCCCACCCCCACCCGGACAGCCCCCCCTGCCCTCCGCTGGAAGCCCTTCCTCTGTCACAGCCTCCTGCGGTTCTTCTCTCTCCGTTTCTCCTCCGGTCCCCTCTAACTGCGTCCTGTCCTCCTGCGTTGCGTGTCCGACGGCCTGCCCCGGGGGGCTGCCCAGCCCCGGCTCTCCCCTGCCGGGTCCCCCTGCCCGGCCCTCGCTGGCTGCCTGCGCGTGGGGGTAGGCCGGGCGGGAGCTCAGCTGCGGCATTCCCGGATCCTCCAGGTTCTCCGAGCCCCTGGAGTCAGGCCTCTGGTGGGCAGTTGTCCGGGGCAGCGGCACCTTCTCCGGGCCCAGGGCACAGTCCACCACGCAGGGCACGCTGCCCTCCCCCGAGCCCCCAGAGCCGCTGCTGAGGTCCACGCCGGAGGAGGACGTCGGCGTGAGGTCCTCGGTCACGGCGTGGGGCCCGGGGCCCGGCGGAGCCTGGCTCCACGTGAGCTCCTGGACGCCGGCGTCCAGCTGGCCCGGGCCGAGGTCACAGCCCGGCCACAGGGCCTGGGAGAGGCTGAGCAGCTCCCGGTACCGAGGGGAGTCCGCGAACCCCGCTTTGCCAGCAGGAGACCCCAGGCCTTCATCAAAGAAGTGCAGCCGGGCCAGGCAGGCGACGAGGGCCCCTGCCGAGCGGCTGAGCCTCCGGGCGGCCGGGCCGGACACTTCGGGCAGGCTGCTGGGCCGGCCCTGCTTGAAGCCCATCAGCGCCTTCATGATCTGTGCGGAGGCTGACACCCTGGCGGGAAGCACCCGCGGGGGCGCCCCACGGCCCGAGGCCACCCCTCCGCCCAGTCTGGCCTCCGCAGAGGTTTTGGGGTCTCTGCCCAGAGCTGCCCCTTGGGGAGGACCCTCTGCAGATGAGGGACCGGCACCCCCAGTCCCTGGGAGGGCCCCATCTGGCTCTGGGTTCTTGCCGGCGTTCCCTTCCGGGGGCCACGGCCTGGCCTCAGCTAGGCCCCCTGGGCCTTCTGGGGGACGGCCGTCCCCAGGGTCCTCCTTGGGGCTTTCTGGGCCATCCCCGGCCGCACCTGCAGCCTCGTCCACCATCTCGTATTTCAAGAGCACGGGCTCCTCTGGGATGTTGCCCAGCCACTCTCGGACCACGGAGTCCGGCGAGGCGTGGGGTAGAGCGCCCGGCGACACGCCACTGCCCTCCTCCTGCTCCTCGGGGCCGCCCCCGCCCCCAGCGGTCTTCCCCTGGGGTCCCCCAGTGGGGTCTGGGGGCAGCACTCGCCCCACCCCCACCACGGGCGACTCCTCCCCCTGCCTGCTCCCACCCAGCCCCCAGGCAGCACCCTGGCAGCCGCCGCTGCCCCCACAGCCGGAAGGGCGCCTCTCGGCACCGGGCCGCCCCCTGGGCGGGGTGGGGCAGTACCTGCTGCACACCCAGGCGGCCTCGGGGGGCGGTGCCCACAGCGCCTGTGTGCTACCACCAGGGCCCCCTTGGACCAGGGGTGCCCCGATCTGTGAGCAGCAGCTGCCTTGGTGGGCTCCCGCCTCCCCGAAGTCAGGCCGTCCCTCCTGCAGGGCCAAGGAGGGCGAGGAAGGCTCCGGGGTGCCCCCCACCTCTGCCCCCTGGCCGCCAGCCCCAGCCTGAGAGCAGGAGAGGGGTGCGTGGGGAGGAGCAGGAGCCGGGGAGCCCGCCCGGGACCCCGCGCCCCCTGCCCACCCCGCAGAGGGGGCTCCGCAGTGGCAGGAACCAGAAGCGCAGTCCGAGCCGCTTGCGGTGGCGCTGCTGGCCTCAGGCAGGTCCTGGGAGCGCAGAGAGCCCGAGGACGGGGCTCTCCGGTCCCCGGAGGCCTGTGTCTTGGTGCTCAAGGAGCTTTGGGAAAGTCGTGGTGCCGGGCCCTCCGGGCGGGCCGCTCCTCGATCGGGAGGCCGGGGCGGCGCCTGCTGCCCTGCAGGTGAGTCCTGCAGGCGGTGGGTGTCCCTGCAGTGGTGACACTGCCTCGCATGGCCTCTCCGAGCCACTCGGCTGAGGCCAGGAGAGCTGGGTGGGGACTCGGCACTGGCGCGGGTCCTCTGCTTTCTTGTCCTGGGCGGTGGCGGAGAGTCTCCGTCTGCATCCCAGGAGCTAGAGCTGCCCAGGGCCAGGGGCAGCCTCGTCACAGACCCCCACCCAGCCTGGCAGCTCCCAGTGCCCTGCCCACACGTCTCTGCCTGCAGGTCCTCGTTCCTTAAAGCTGAGGGACTCAGGGCTGGAGAACCGGGGCCAGATCCCTGGCTGACCTCCCCCTGGGAAGCCTCAGCCCTCGCCTCACCCCACTGTCTGGGGGCCGACGCGCCAGCAGGAGCCCCTTGGGCGCTCCGGCTGCCCAGCCCTGCGGCCTCTGGGCACGGACCGGCCTCCCGCTGGGCCCTGCTCGGGGCAGAGAGGCCACAACTGCCCGCACCGCTCTCTGGGGTCCTGGGGCAGCGAGAGGAGTCTGGCTCCGAGCCCTCGTGGTGGCTGGAGCTGGAGGCTGAGCTGAGGCTGTCCCAGCGCCTCTGCCTGAGCGTGGCCCGTTGCCCGCGGGGGCCCCTGCCATGGGGGTGCTGGGCCAGCCCCGACCTCCTCGGCGAAGCCAGCCCCTGGCCCTGGGCCGCGTGCACGGGGTTCGTCCAGATCTCGTATCTGGGTCCCGACGGCCCGCCTGGGCCACAGGCGTCCTCACACTCCGCCCCCGTGGCCGGGCGGCCCCCGGGGTGGCCCTGCCACACGCAGCAGAGGGGGGCCACCCCCCCCAGGTCGGGGCCCTCCCCGCAGGCCCGCCCCACCCTGCGGGACCACAGCGGCGTGTCCTCTCCCAGCAGGCGGAAGCGGACTTTCATCTCCACGTCCAGGCTGCCGTCCTGGTTCACCCGCACCTTCTTCTTCACGCCGTCGCTGGCCACCAGGGCGCCGGGCTGGGCCGGTGTGTCCCGAGGGTGACCGTCGGGGGCTCGGCCCTCCCAGGTTCGATGCAGGGACGCCGGGGGGTCGCTGAGCCCAGACCTCTCCGACAGCAGGGAAGCCCGCCGCGGCCGGCTGCCCGGCCGGGACCTCGTGTGGATCACGCTCCGCTTGGCCTTGGGCCCCCAGCTCCCTGGCACCGGCAGAGAGGGAGAGAAAAGAGGAAACAGTGAGGGCAGAAGAGCAAAGAGGCAGTGAGCCTTCTGCCACCTCCGGGACAGCAGCGCCCCTCCAAACTGCGCGGCGGGGCGGAGCGGCTCCAGAGCAGCCACCTGTGCACTGCGTAGCAGGATGGACTTGAGTCTCAAGCCCATCTCGCCGGCCACTCACCTGCCAGGGGACTTTGGGCAGAGCCTGTTTTCTCTCTTTCTTTTTTCTTTTTTTTTTTTTTTGGAGACAGATCTCACTCTGTTGCCTGGGCTAGAGTGCCGTGGCGTCAGCCTAGCTCACAGCAACCTCCAACTCCTGGGCTCAAGCAATCCTACTGCCTCAGCCTCCCAAGTAGCTGGGACTACAGGCATGTGCCACCATGCCCGGCTAATTCTTTTTTCTGTATATTTTAGTTGTTCAATTAATTTCTTTCTATTTTTAGTAGAGATGGGGTCTCGCTCTTGCTCAGGCTGGTCTCGAACTCCTGAGCTCAAACGATCCGCCCACCTCGGCCTCCCAGAGTGCTAGGATTACAGGCATGAGCCACTGCACCTGGCCCCTTCCAGGTGCTTAAACTTTGATTTGTTAACTGTGCTTCTTGAAATAATGTTTTTTTTTCTAAGCTAGCATAGCCTAGACTGGCACAGTGTAGGCTTTTTGGATGGACAGATGGATGGATGGTGATCAGTGGTCACAGTTAGTTCTTGTCCTTCTGATCCCTCTGCAGGGCACCATGTTGACTAAGACAGTTGTGACCCTGGAAAGAGGCAAATGCCACCTGGGCATGGCCATCGCCTCTATGCTGTCGTGCCCACTGTGGTTCTTAATAACAGTTATTTTAGATCCTAGAGACGTCGAGTTCAAGATCTCCTGATCCCTGCTCCCTTCAAATACCAGACTCTGCTGTCTCGAGTCCCTGTCAAATGTTCGATCCAGTTAAGGCTGTTCGTGATGAGGAGGAGGCAGACAGGACAAGAGAGACCCCAAAAGGACTGGGATACCTGAGAATTGGGGCCCAATGCAGATTTCCTGTATATCCTGGAGGGAAACTGCTCAGCCCTCGCTGTAGCACCATCCAGCCAGCGCAAGTGCAACTGGGGAGACCCCAAAACCAACTCACCGTTTTTGTTCCTTGAAGCCGGCCCAGTTAAAGTTTCAGTCCCGTTTCTTCTGGCCTCTTCCATGGCCAGAGGTCTGAAGGCCTCGTGGCCAGCACACACCAGCACGGGCGGCAGGGCCTGCAGGGAGTCCACCTGCCGGAGAAGGGCCCTGAGTCAGCCCCGGCTGCAGAGAGCTCTCGGCCCGAAGGCCCGGGGGACGAGGAGCCAGTCTCTCCAGCCCTCTCCCGACTTCTGCCCATCTCACCCCAGACTCCTGATCCCGGGATCCCACCATTCCCCATAGCCGGGGGCTGAGGTCCTGCCACTGCCGTCTCCCTCTCTCCCTGCACCAGGACGGCGACGGTGGGAAAGACTTCAGAGCCTTTAGGCCGAGTCTCTGCCCGCACGTCCACCCTCTGCAAAATGTGTGCAAAAAGCACCCAGAGCAGAACGCCCTCCAGCCCCCACGTGGGGACCCAATTCACATCCCATCCTTTTTCCCAAACGGAGGGTCCTCTATGGCGTCTGCTCCGTGTTTTCCGGTAGGGTCTGGGCCCATCACACGAGGGCCACTCGGGGCAGTGGGAAGGAAGGTCCAGGGGACACTGTAATTTGGCTGCATATTTTTCATGGAAGGAGCAGTGGTGAGAGCTTCTGCAGCGATTTGTGGGCAGCGGAGAGCAGTTCGACCTGACAGCCAGGGACTGGGCAGGACAGGATGGTGGGGGGCTGGTGTCAGGGACGTCCGGAGGTTCTGGGAATGGGTCTCTCAGAATTGGCCCAGCAGGTGAGAGCATTTGTGTCCCGTGTGAATGTGCCATGCTGACGACCATGTGCACAGACTGGCCCGCTCCCTGGGTGACGGTCACCCTATTTCTCCAGCTCCCCGGGCATGCAGACAGCTCACAAGCAAAGCGGCAGAGGAGCGTGAACTAGCAACAGAAACCCCGCCTCTTTCACTCAAATGTGGCCACCACCCCTGCTCAGGCCTGACCTGCCGAGAGCAGAGACCAATGCTTGTGCTTCCAGTCATACCTAGAGGGGCCCAGCTCACTCTCCAGCTTCCCAAGGATTGGGAAGCCCCTCAATGCCCTGTATCAAATATCTTTCTGCTTGAGGGACCTGGAGTAGTTTCTGTTTCCTGCCCTGAACTCTCACTCTTGGAACAGGTTGTGGAGAGGACTGAGTAAGAAGGCGATAAGAATGTTCTAGGCACTGTGCCTGGCACTTGCTAAGTGCTCACTAAGTGGTAGCTAGAAACGTGAATAACAATTGCTTGTGGACTAATTGACTTGACCGAATGTCTCTACCCTATTCACCTTTAATTTGTAGCAGGGCGATCAAGAGCCTCTTTTCAAGGAATAACCTCCATTCCATCTAAGGATTATATTTTGACCTGAGGCCCAAAGAGATTTTTCAAGGAACTATCCAGGCCCGCAGCCTACCTTCCTCCCGCTGATCGTGTACACCTGCTTCACGGGAAAGCGCAGGACATCTGAGGCTTTGCTGAGGAGGGCCGTCAGGTGCCGCGTGTCTCTCGGGCTGAGGACCACCGTCTGCTGGAGTCGAGGGTCCCCGTTCTTAACCAGCAGGACCCTCCTTGGGGCTTTGGGGCCCTTCCAGGAGGAGGATGTTCCCGGCGCCTCCCGCTGGCCTTCAAAATCCCGGGACTGCTGAGCGGAGGGGCTGCTCCCCTGCGGCCGGCCCGGCCCCCCGGGCGTCTTGGGGGGATTCCTATCGGAGCAGAGGTAGCAGCCGCCGTCTTCCAGCTGCTCCAGGGCGCTGAGGCCGTGCAGGCCGCGGGGCGTGGTGACGGAGCGCACCCCGAACGCAAGAGGCACGCGCTGGGAGAGCTCGTCCATCAGGGCGCTGAAGGTCTTGAAGGCGCGCTGGTGAACCGCCAGGCGCACCCCGGCAAAGCGGGGATCTCCTCGCTTCAGGAAGGTGATCTTCTTGGCTGGCGCGACCTGGGTGACCGAGGGGGCGCGGGCCACAGAGGGCAGGCGGTGGCTCGGGGCCTGGGCTTCCCTCGGGGCCTGGGCTTCCCTCGGGGCGCTGTTCATGGCGTGGCGGCCGGCGGGGCTGTAACGGGTCAGGGGGAGAAGGCGGTCAGCGCAGCTGGCGGGGTTTGCACTTCCTGCCTCTCCCCTGCTTTGCAGAGGGGGCTCCTGCTCACCCCCCAGTGCAGCGGCAGGCGGATCCACTTGGATGGACCCAGAGGAAGGCCAAAGGTTTGGCGTCAGACAGATCTGAGTTCAAGCCCCGCCTCACCACGTACTGCCTGTGCGGCCCCGCGAGTGACTGATGTGACCTGGGCTCTGATGGCCCCGTCTGTGGCACGCGGCGCAGTCCCTGTGCATGGCGCTCATGACAACAAAGCAGCTTCGCATAGAAAGCACCTGGCATAGAGCAAGGATCAATCTCTACTCTCTTCCTTCCTCTTGCTGCCCCTCTTACCCTCGCCCACCAACTTTGAGCCCCTTTAATATTATGGTTTTCCTCCTAAGGAGTCAGGAAAGAGAGGACCTTGAAACCCACAGGTGAGAGCACCGGGCGGGGGCTCTCACAGCCTGGCAGCAAGCCCCTCTCCTGGGGTCTCCCTGTGTCACCCCAGGGGACTCCCGCCTCCCTGGACTCGCTCCTTCCAGCTGTCGGGTGAGAGGGCTGCAGCAGAAGGCATATGTCCCCAGCCCCTCAGGGACAGGGTGCGGGGACAAGGAGACTTGGAGCTCCGTGTCTGGGACCTGCCACCACCGATGTTGCGTGTTTTCGCCCCCATTACGATTGATGTTTGCTTTCATATAAAAATGAGACTGCCTCTCACACTGCCCCAAAGACTTTGCAATGTGCATGATGATGGCTGACTGCCCCGGCCCGCTACTGCCAGCTTGGGAGGTGGGGGCGCAGACCCGCCACCCCCACCTTCTCCTATTCCCGCTGCCCACTGCGTGGAGCCCGTGGCCTTGCCCAGGACTCTGCACTGGCCCGCTCCCTGGGTGACGGTCACCCTATTTCTCCAGCTCCCCGGGGCATGCAGACAGCTCACAAGCAAAGTGGCAGAGGAGCGTGAACTAGCAACAGAAACCCCGCCTCTTTCACGCAAATGTGGCCACCACCCCTGCTCAGGCCTGACCTGCCGAGAGCAGAGACCAATGCTTGTGCTTCCAGTCATACCTAGAGGGGCCCAGCTCACTCTCCAGCTTCCCAAGGATTGGGAAGCCCCTCAATGCCCTGTATCAAATATCTTTCTGCTTGAGGGACCTGGAGTAGTTTCTGTTTCCTGCCCTGAACTCTCGCTCTCAGAAACAGGTTGTGGAGAGGACTGGGTAAGAAGATGATGAGAATGCTCTAGAATGTTCCTAATCCCCTGAAGCTGCTCTTCCTAGACCTCAGCTGACATCCCTGCAGGGCCAGAAGCTCTTCCTGGCCCAGGTGGCCACGTCCCATCCTGTGCACCTGTGGCCCAGTTGTCCTGAAACCCGGCTGGCACCCAGACATCTCCTGTGCTCCAAATACTTCGGGAGGTTCCCAGTGTCTGCATAAAAGCACAGGTGCTTTATCCTGCCACTCAAGCGCTTCTCCCACCTGTCCCAGCCGCCCCCTCGAGCCTCCCTCCTGCTTCTTTCCTGCATGAAAATACCCCCTCTCACCAGGCTGCCTGGCTCCGAGGCTCTGCCATCAAGGCGGCCCCTGTCCTCCGGCACCCTGCCCTGGCTTTCCTCCTTTGTGGAGCCTCCCCTGGTTGTCCGAGCCCAGGCAGCCCCCACTTCAGTGAAGCTCCCCAGCAGGTCCTTCCTCCTGGCCTGCCCCACCCAGGCCCGGGACGCAGGGCCCGTCTCCCCAGGGCGCCAGCCTGGCACAGCACAGGGCTCGGAAATACTCTGACCAGCAGTGCTGGCGTTTCACAGGGGCTCGTACCAGGGCCAGGCCTGGCAAAGGCTGGGGACGGGGCAATGACATCAGGTGAGGCATCGCCCCAGCTCACAGAGGGTTCAGAACCGTAAGGGACCCTCGTTAACACGCACCCACAGGTAACAGCGTCTTCCCTCCTTCCCTTGGGCCCGAGTGTGGGTCTCATCTCCTTTCCCTCCTTCTTCTCCATTTGTCCCCGTTCGTCCAAAGGGAATGGACGAGTGCCTCATTTTCAAGATTGTGCTGCACAAGAGGAGCTTGTAATCCTCTCCCCTCTCTGGCACCAGTTTTATAATTAGCTGTTCAACCTCCTCCCGCCCAGCTAATCCCCCGAAGCTGCTCTTCCTAGACCTCAGCTGACGGCCCTGCAGGGCCAGGAGCAGTTCGTCCCCCGGGTGCCCGGGGGGCCAGCCCTTCCTCCTCCGCAGTCTTCATTTCCACTTGCAGCTCAGAGCACCCACGTGGCCCTCACTGAGGGTCTGAGAAGGAAGGAAGCACCACCTTGTCCCAGGTGTCACTGTGTGCCCAGCATGACCATGTCCCTCAGCATCACCATGTCCCCAGTGTCACCATGACCCCCAGCAAGCCCACTGCCTCCCAGGGCTTCTGCAGCCCCTGCAGCCCCTCCTGTGCGCAGCGCCCCTCTCAGGTGCCCGGGACAGCAGCTCCGAGGACGTCTGGGACAGGCAGGAGCCGCCTGCCTGAGTGAAGGCAAAGCTGTCTGTGCCCCAGGCCCGGGCCAGAGCAGAACCTCACGACACACGCTCTGCTGGCTGGCAGCCCCTTTCCCTGGCCGTCTTCTAGGGTACTGTATCTCTGGCTGAACTGGAATTCCCCTCCAACTGGACTTCTGAGATAAAAGGGGCATGTGACCCGAGGGACCCTAAGTGCCAAAGCCCAGGTTGATGCCGGGTGCCCCACAAGGGGACCCAGCAGGCAGCCAGCCCCAGGGGAGCCGGTGGCAATCTCAGTCGCCCGTCCCTCCGGTCGCGTGACTGACAAGATTCTGCAGATGACGCTGGGTTCGCGCACACCTTCACGCAGGAGAACGTGTTAGAAAGAATTTAGGACTCATGAGAAGGGGCCGAGGGATGGCCCGGCCCTGGGCCGTGAGGACATCTAGGGACAGACACCACGCTGCCTGCACGGCTCTCCAGCCTCGTGCGCACGAGCAGAGGCAGGCGCAGCCTCCCCTCCGTGGACTGTCGCCGGCAAGCGCCCTTCTCTTGCAGGCACGGGAAGGGAGGCGCAAACAGGAATGAGTTTCTTCTTTGAAGACGCTTAAACTTCCAGTCTTTCACCTTCAAAATAAGCTGGCCCCATCATGCTATTGATTCAGTCGCTCATTCATTCACTTATTCATGTATCCAGCAAAGGTCTCTGATCATCTATTGTGTGTCGGGCTCTGCACTGGGTCCGGGGAACACAAAGATTAATAAGACGTAGCACCCACCATCAGCAACTTCACATTCTAGCGTGACAAGTGGACACACTAATACATACCATAATAAGTGTTCTAATGCGTATGTGTGTGTGCGTATGTATGTGCATGTGTGTGTATGTATCTGTAATACACACAAGGTGTGGCAGAAAACAGAGAGAGGGGACTGGCTGGTCAGGGAAGACTTCCTGGAGGAGGTGACCTGAAGACTCCTGAGCTGGAGCCTAAAGGACGGTTTAGGGATCAGCCCAAGGAGGAAGGAGTTAGGACGGGCCTGGCAATAGATACAACCATGGTGCCCACTCCGCCCAGCGAGGTGGGTTTGGAGGGATGGGGAGAAGGCTCCAGACATCTCTTGTGCTGCCATCAGCTGCCCCCAAGTCAGGGTGGAGAGGGGCCGCTCTGGGCGCCAGACGCTTGCCATCCCTGCATTGGGGCGTTCGTTCAAAACCCAGACTGGAAAACTGGACTTGTCAGTCCCACGCGCCAACTCCCGAGCTTACTGGGCTGGGGCCCCGGCATCTGTCCTGTGACCTGAACAAACTGAAAGGTGGCCCCCGGGGAGCCGCCTTCACTGATTCCCGAGCCAGGAAGGTGCTGGGGGTGGGGGCGGGAGCTGAGGCTGCTGTCGGGTCTCTCCAGCTTGTCCTGTGGACAGTAGGGGACACCTGCCCCATGCCTGCCTCCCAGACAGGCCTTCAGAAAGTGCACAAAGGATTAGCACTCAGTGGGACATATTAAGTCACATACATCGTTTTTTCCCCTCTGTTTTCCCCCTTTAAAAGTCATGAGGCTTCTCTCTCCAAGCAGGAGCGGGAGAAGATGGGACCCTTTTAACAAGACAAGCAAGGTGGACACCAGGCCTGGCCCAGACAGAGGACGCCCAGGACCCCTGGAGCTCCCCGGCCATGTCGTGGCCACAGGATAGCAGAAGCCCCTCCCTGCAGGGAGAAGACAGGTCCTGCCCACTGCTCGCCTGGGGCAGGGAGGGTGGCAGGCAGTGGCAGAGGCTGAGCCTTGGGTGCCAGGGACTGTTGGAGAGAGGGAAGAGAAGGGAGCAGAGCTGCAGGGCGCTGGCTGGGCTCTGGGTCCCAGCTTTGCACGCCACCCCTAGCTGGGGTACGGGGGGATGGAGGGACATCTAGACAAGGAGCCAGACGCCAAGCCCCATCCTCAGCCCCAAAGCAGCCCCCAGCCCGGCTCCCCCTGCGGACTGGGCCTCGGGAGGCCTGTCTTGCACAAGGGGCAGGGGAGGCCCTGGCATTGCCATTGGCGTTTAGCTTCCTGAGCCACCAGGGTGCCCCTGGGGTCCGGCTGGGGAGCTGTGGCGGGTGGTCTTGGTGAGCACAGAGGTGGGCCCCACCTCTGGTGCTGAACGGGTCCCAGCAATGGGACCCTGGGCCCAGGACAGGTCAGAGCCAGGGAGGCTGAGTCCTCAGCGGGTGGAGGGGTTGGCAGGGAGGGGAGGAAGCCGGGAGAGAAAGCGGAGGCGGCCTTTCCCGCTGTGTGGGGGTGGGTCGGGGAGCAGGGAAAACAGATTAAGGGGCAAAGGGGAGAAAAATAGAAGTCACAGGAAATGCTCAAAAAAGGTGACAGCCCCGTGGGGGAATCAGCATGGCGGGCCTGAGGGGCGGAAGCAATTTGGTCAGGCCAGGGAGGGCAGGGATTCAGGAAGAAGGAATTGGGGGCGGGCTGGGCTCGCAGGAGGGGAGAAAGCGAGAGAGGCGGTGACACCCAAGCCAGCCCTGGCTGGGACCGGCAGGCAGGGAGCTGTGCTGGTCGGTGTTCCCAGGGCGCAGCTGAAGATGCCACCTGCCTGCAGGGTAGAGTCCCCATGGGCATGTGGCCTCCGGCGAGAACAAGAGCCGCTGGGGTCCTAGGGTCCCTCCCACCACAGGGGTCTACATAGGCAGTGTGGGGTCAGGCAGCCGTTTTCAGCACCATCTCCCAGCAACTCGAATCTGCCACGGGTTGCAAGAGCACCAATATTTTATGAACCAATAAGAAAGGAAAACAGTGATGGACTAAGACAAAGACATGCCATTAATTGCAAGATGCATCTCAATTTCAAAGGTATTAAAACATTAGAAAAAGCCCAGCGCAGACAGGATGACAAAAAGCCAAGCACAGCTGGGCACAGTGTCTCACACCTGTAATCCTAGCACTCTGGGAGACCGAGGTGGGAGGATTGCTCGAGGTCAGGAGTTCAAAACCAGCCTGAGCAAGAGTGAGACCCCATCTCTACTAAAAATAGAAAGAAATTAATTGGCCAACTAAAAATATATAGAAAAATTAGCTGGGCATGGTGGCGCATGCCTGTAGTCCCAGCTACTCAGGAGGCTGAGGCAGGAGGAGCACTTGAGCGCAAAGGAGTCTGAGGTTGCTGTGAGTAGGCACTCTAGCCCCGGTAACAGAGTGAGACTCTGTCTCAAAAAAAAAAAAAAAAAAAAAAGCCAAGCACATGTCACACGCCGTCACGATAAAGCCACGGCGCTTCATCAAGCGTGACTGTGATTGATTTTGGGTGCTGAAAGCATCGAGAAGCCAGAGTGCTCCAGCCAGAGTGCTCCAGCCAGAGTGCTCCAGCCTGAGTGCTCCAGCCAGAGTGCTCCAGCCAGAGTGCTCCAGCCTGAGTGCTCCAGCCAGAGTGCTCCAGCCAGAGTGCTCCAGCCTGACAATCTAGTCCTGCCAAGTGGGTGGGGGATGTGACTGGGGTGGGGTGGGGGCAAGGAGGGGCCGTGGTGAGATGCCACTTCACACCCATCAGAGCGGCTCCTATACAGAAAACAAGTGTTGGCATGGATGGGGAGGGATTGGAACACGGCTTGTGGGAGTGTAAGATGACGTAGCCGCTGTGGAAGACAGCACGGCGGGTCCTCATAAAGGTAACCACGGAACTGCCACGTGACCCAGCAATCTCGCTTCCGGGTGTCTCTGCAAAAGAACTGAACGCAGGGCTCAAAGTGACGTCTGCACATGGCAGCATTATTCACAACAGCCAGAGGGTGGAGACAAGCCAAACTTCCATCCTCGGTGAGAGGACAAACAAAATGTAGTCAATACAAACGATAGAGTATTACTCGCCCTGGAAAAAGGGGGACATTCTGACCTTCGCTACAACACGGATGAACCCTGAGGACATCGTGCTCAGTGAAATAAGCCAGTCGCAAAAGGTCAAATGCCGTGTGAGTCCCCTTCTACGAGGCGCCTAGACTAGTCAAGTTCAGGGACAGAAAGCAGAATTGCAGGGATGGCAAGGTAGCGTTTAACAGGTGCAGAGTTTCGCCTGGGGAGACGACAGGGTTCTAGAGACGGCTAATCACATG